ACAAAAGAAACGAAGCCAAACACAAAATATCAGAAATTCAACACAATTTACCCTCATTCCTGGTACAAAAGTTCGTGTAGTTCTTGACGACAAACCGTTGACAAAGAAACGTTTAAGGTTAAGTAGAAACTATTATATCGTAGACTCTACACAAGGTAATGGATATCTTATAAAAGCTGCTGACGACTCCATAGCATTTTACCCTCGACATAAGTTAGTTGAAAGTAGTAATGGCAAACTTGCTGAAACCATTGACGAAGCAAAGCGAGGAGTGGTTATTGAAATACTTGGCTACAACACAAACGATGACACTTATAAAGTAAGATATGAAGGAGGTGTTGAAGATGTTATACCATCTAAGAACTTGAGAGAGTCAAAGCCAACTCATCTGGGACCATTAGAGCGGGAGTACTGGAAAGATAAAAACATGCCAGAAAGAATAAGAAAATTCTTCTAAACTTTTTCGTTGGATGTAAATCAGACATGAATAAGAAAATTCATCTAAACTTTTTCATTAGATGTAAATCAGACAAAAATATAATTTAGGTGAAGAGGTGAGATGTCACCCGTTTTTTCACCTGTTTTCTCACCCTCAGCCGCTAAGCGGCGAGACCCAAAGGGTCTTGAATTTGTCATGATTTCATCGTAGAAAACTCATGAAAACAATTTATTTTTAAAACAATATATTTTTTTTATTTTATTTGAAATGTACGCTGAGTTTGTTGGAGAAGACCGTTGGGAAACTTGTTTGTTAGATGAGAAATATGAAATTCACTGTTGTGAGTCATTTGAAGTCAGAAACAAAAAGACAAAAAGAGTTTTAAGCGAATGGGAGCGAAATGACGGATATGCTGATATGAAGATGGGTGGAAAACACTATCTTAAACATGTTGTCATTGCAACTCATTTTATACTGAATCCTAACAATTTACCTTTTGTAGACCATATAAACCATATAAGAAACGACAATAGACTTGAAAACTTACGTTGGGTCACTTATTCTGAAAACAATAAGAACAAAGGCAAATTTGGAGATATTATATTCGAATTTGTCGACGAACTAGAAGATGAAACAATTGAAATTACAGACTATGGCAAGCATACGTTTGAGTTTTACTACTATAGCGAAGAACAAGACTCTTTCTACTTTTATACCGGCGTAAACTATAGGAAATTACAAGTATATTTTACTAAGGCGGGCTATGCTTATGTAAACACTAGAGATACAGATGGAAAATACGTTCGAATACTTCTTAACAAATTCAAGAAGCTATATGGCATACCATTTTAAAACAATATATTTTTACATATATTAAATGCTTCAGGTTGAAAGAATACGGTGGAGCCAAAAGTGGCTCGACCTCAAAACAAACATTTTATGAGCTTACAAAGGGTGTTATGAATGAATTCAGCAACATACATCCTGACCTCGTTCATTTTGTTGCTAAATTCAGTAAAAATATAATTTAGGTGAAGAGGTGAGATGTCACCCGTTTTCTCACCTGTTTTCTCACCCTCGTGAATTTTCATGAATTTCCTTAAGATAGAAAAAATAAAGTTAGTTTTATTTTATTTATTTTTTTTATTTTGTATGTAAAGATATGATTTCAACAATCGGCACAACAACAATTCAAACTACAGCACCAAACTCGTTAGTTATGAATCCTACGTCAATGTTGGTAGAAATGAAAAGCTTCATTCCTTCTTCATTTACTTTCGAAACAGAAATCCAGAAGATAAAGCAAGAACTTTTAACAAGTAATTTAGACTGTAGTGCGAAAGATGAAACAAATGAACAGTATCTTTATGACATGCAGGACATTATTGACCATTTGCCCAAATTGCCTGAAATCCAACAACAAAAACTAACCATTCCCGAATTTGACGAAATTGAAGTCAAAGCAACTGACTCAGTAGAAATAAAGAAGTTCATACGAAAGGTAAATTATGAATTCCTTGGTTTTCATTGCAACCATAAGGTTATGGACAAAGATTGCGACATGGTATATAAGAATATTTCTGACATATATAAATCTGAAGAATTTAAGACCTACGACAACTTTGTTTCGTTAGTTGCAGAATGTGTATGGCAGATAAGAGATAAAGATAGAAGAGGTAAGGTATGGAATGAACAAATAAGACCCGCTATGTTTGAGTTAAAGAAAACCATTGACGCCTTGGTTGTTTTAGCAGGTAAGGTTTCAGAATATAACGCAAAAATGAACCCGCAATGTTCTAAATGTAAAGCAGCAATGAGGAAATATAACTACTCCGTCAAAGAGATAGAAAGAATGCGAAACGACTATGCAGACTTAAAGAAAGAAGCAGAAAAGCCAGCAGAAGATAAAATGAACATGTTAGAATTTCTTAATAAAAATTATCCAACAGCAGAAGATTTCCTTCTATCTGACGTCAAGAAGAAGTATAAAGAAACTTTCGGCATTGTTAAAACATTCGATGTACTGACAGAAGAAATAGAAGCTACGAAATTGTTTAGAATTTCAAATATACATCGTACAATTCATGTGAAACGCTTGTGAAAAAAGAGGTGAGAAAACAGGTGAGAAAACGGGTGACATCTCACCTCTTCACCTAAACATTATTTTTGGTCATTTACACTCATTTACGAAGAAGTCATGACAAAGCATTTACGATGAAATCTTGACAAGGCATTTACGAAGAAGTTATGACAAAGCATTTACGAAGAAGTTATGACAAAGCATTTACGAAGAAGTTATGACAAAGCATTTACGAAGAAGTTATGACAAAGTCAAGACCCTTTGGGTCTCGCCGCTTAGCGGCTGAGGGTGAGAAAACAGGTGAGAAAACGGGTGACATCTCACCTCTTCACCTAAACATTATTTTTACTGAATTTAGCAACAAAATGAACGAGGTCAGGATGTATGTTGCTGAATTCATTCATAACACCCTTTGTAAGCTCATAAAATGTTTGTTTTGAGGTCGAGCCACTTTTGGCTCCACCGTATTCTTTCAACCTGAAGCATTTAATATATGTAAAAATATATTGTTTTAAAATGGTATGCCATATAGCTTCTTGAATTTGTTAAGAAGTATTCGAACGTATTTTCCATCTGTATCTCTAGTGTTTACATAAGCATAGCCCGCCTTAGTAAAATATACTTGTAATTTCCTATAGTTTACGCCGGTATAAAAGTAGAAAGAGTCTTGTTCTTCGCTATAGTAGTAAAACTCAAACGTATGCTTGCCATAGTCTGTAATTTCAATTGTTTCATCTTCTAGTTCGTCGACAAATTCGAATATAATATCTCCAAATTTGCCTTTGTTCTTATTGTTTTCAGAATAAGTGACCCAACGTAAGTTTTCAAGTCTATTGTCGTTTCTTATATGGTTTATATGGTCTACAAAAGGTAAATTGTTAGGATTCAGTATAAAATGAGTTGCAATGACAACATGTTTAAGATAGTGTTTTCCACCCATCTTCATATCAGCATATCCGTCATTTCGCTCCCATTCGCTTAAAACTCTTTTTGTCTTTTTGTTTCTGACTTCAAATGACTCACAACAGTGAATTTCATATTTCTCATCTAACAAACAAGTTTCCCAACGGTCTTCTCCAACAAACTCAGCGTACATTTCAAATAAAATAAAAAAAATATATTGTTTTAAAAATAAATTGTTTTCATGAGTTTTCTACGATGAAATCATGACAAATTCAAGACCCTTTGGGTCTCGCCGCTTAGCGGCTGAGGTGAGAAAACAGGCGAAAAAACGGGTGACATCTCACCTCTTCACCTAAATTATATTTTTGTCTGATTTACATCTAATGAAAAAGTTTAGATGAATTTTCTTATTCATGTCTGATTTACATCCAACGAAAAAGTTTAGAAGAATTTTCTTATTCTTTCTGGCATGTTTTTATCTTTCCAGTACTCCCGCTCTAATGGTCCCAGATGAGTTGGCTTTGACTCTCTCAAGTTCTTAGATGGTATAACATCTTCAACACCTCCTTCATATCTTACTTTATAAGTGTCATCGTTTGTGTTGTAGCCAAGTATTTCAATAACCACTCCTCGCTTTGCTTCGTCAATGGTTTCAGCAAGTTTGCCATTACTACTTTCAACTAACTTATGTCGAGGGTAAAATGCTATGGAGTCGTCAGCAGCTTTTATAAGATATCCATTACCTTGTGTAGAGTCTACGATATAATAGTTTCTACTTAACCTTAAACGTTTCTTTGTCAACGGTTTGTCGTCAAGAACTACACGAACTTTTGTACCAGGAATGAGGGTAAATTGTGTTGAATTTCTGATATTTTGTGTTTGGCTTCGTTTCTTTTGTATATACTTTTCTTCTTGTTGTTGTGTCATTGAATTTGGTGTATGTCCTGTTGTAGAATGTGTTGAGGAATTATATACTTCGAGAAAATGTTTCATTGTTTCTTCGGTAAAGTCTCGCTCTTGATTTAAATCTCTGAGCGTTCTTATGAAGCGGTTTATGATGCCGAGTATGTTATGGTTATGGTCTTCAGTAGTGTAGTGAGTTATGTTATGCTTAATGAGAAATTCTGTGATTTCATTGCTGAGGTATGCACTGTCTTGGTCTGATGTTAAAGTACTTGGGTTATGTTCTGCTACAAACTTTTGTAAAACTCTTAACACTTCACGAGTTCCTTTATTTTTCATTGGATATGCATATGCTTTGCGAGTGTTAACATTTATGAAGATGAGGAATGGTTTATGTCCTCCTTTTCTGCTTTGAATGAGAGTGTCAAATTGGTATGCGTCAGGAGTGTTGGAGTAAATTGGTAAAAAGTAGTCGTAAGGGTTTATTTTTGTTTGATGTACAACATTTTTGTCAAAGAACCTTTTCACTTCAGCTCTGTTAGTAAATCCCCAACTCTTTGCAGCTTCATTGAATTTCTTAAATGACCTCCATGGATGTTGTTCGAATACTTCTTTCAAGCTCATTTATGTAAAGTTAAAGATTTTATTCTAGGCTCAAGCGCGTTCATTGAACGCGGTACCATGCAAATACAGTCACAAATGGTGGCATGTAATCTGCACCCGAGCCTGTTGGATTTGTTGTGAAAGTATGGGCATGATTTCCTGCGGTTCCACAGAAAATACCTGTGCTAACATCTTTGGGGTCAGTTGTGATATCATATCTATGCATTCCCTGTCTATCCGAACCTGCTGCAAGATTTGTATAACCTCTTTTTGTTATTGAATGTGAATGACTACCTGTTGTGTTTGTAGTTCCTGTATGAGTGTGCGGTGGAAGGTTTGCTTCAGTAATTTTCTTCGAACCTCCTGTTTGCTTTGAAGAGTTAGCACAGTATAAGAATTTGTCTACAATCTGCTGCCATGTACCAAAACCTAAAACTGTTGCTGGATTTGTTGAGTTCATTGACGTATAAATAGAGCCTATAGGATATAATGTTTGAAGCATTTCTGTCTTTAATGTTTGAAGCTCTGTTTTGTCTGCTTTCTTGTCATATAAATCTTGAGCAGTGAATTTAATATTATGTTCATCCTTCATGACATAAACATCTTTACATCTAATGTTTCTCATCGTCGTTATGTCGTCATCCGATGTTAAACCTTGTGGAAAGTTAGGAGGTTTACAATATAATACAGCCGCGTGCGGCGGGGCTCCGCCCTCCCCACCAGTTTCTTCAACCGTTCCTTCAATACTTTCTATAGCAACAGTTGTAAAACTTGTATGTGTATGAGTCTTATTTGCTTTTTTATCTAACATTGCTGGTAGTTCATATGCTTCAAAGTTTCTGGCATGACTTTCAATGTTCCTGCAACTCTTATCTAAACTGTTAAGAGTATCTTTTACGCTTGTACTTGGATTTTCTAATGGTGCACTTGAACCAAGGTCAAAGTTCAATATTATGTCGTCTGCTCTAACAGTAGTGAAGGATTTATGTGTATGGTTCTTGTCAGCTTTACTGTCTAATGTAGCTTGAAGTTCATTTATATCGGAGATGTTGTGTTTATGAGATTTCAAAACTTTGTTCGTTGCTTCGAGTTCAACTTTGTCAGCTTTACTTTTAATAGCATCTTCAAACGTTATTTTTGCCTTAACTCTTAACATAAATCTTGGTTCAACTAATACACCGTTAACATTGAAAGTAGAGGCATAAATTTCACCGGTATAACCAAATGCTTCTGGTGCTTTAGCTACATCATACTGTACAGTACAGCTTATGTCATAACCTTTAGCACGAATGTATTTATATCTTCTTTCATTAACATTTTTTGTCTTCGCTTCATCACTTCGTGTTAAATATCCATGGTAGTCCGTTATAATCTGTTCGTCTGAAGTTATATAATGAACATGGTTCTTGTCCGCTTTACTATTTAATGTAGCTTGAAGTTCATTTATATCGGAGATGTTGTGTTTATGAGATTTCAAAACTTTGTTCATTGCGTCAAGTTCATTTTTGTCCGCTTTACTATTTAATGTAGCTTGAAGTTCATTTATATCGGAGATATTGTGTTTATGTTCTTTATCTGCTTTTTCGGCTAATTTCTCTTCTATCTCATTTATTTCAAGTTCATGCCTACCACCACCTCCCGAAGAAGTATTTTTCTTCAGCTCTTGAAGAACGTCCACTTCGCCATCTTTGGTGTCAATAATGAGACTTTGAGTTAAAACCTTTCCTGTCTTAATGGATGTTTGTAAAACTTCTTCTTCACCATGTTCGGGGTCATGGTCGTCATCATATCTTGTGAAATCAGAGATGTTGTCATACATTAAGCATATCTGTCTCAAAAGTTCTGCTATTTGAAACTGGAACGAAAGATATACAGAACTTTCATCATCTCCTAAAGTCAAGTCTGCTTTCTTAAGTATTTCTTGAATGTATGCAATGAGAACAGAGTACCTTGGAAAATATTCGAACAATATTTCATTAGCTGTTGGTTTTGGTGGTTCTTTTGGAGTTTCTGTTGTTTCAGTTCCTTCTGTAGGTTCTGTTGGAGTTTCTGCATCTCTTGACTTCAATGCTCTTGCTCTCAAAGACCTAAATGTTAGAGCACCGGGTTTTACAAAGGACTTTATAAATGCTTTAATAGTTCCTGGTAAGTTATTGTTAGCATTAAGTAAGTTCCTTATGCTTCCATCATGTACGTCCATAGCACTATGTAAAAAATCTATACTTTTCTTGTAGTCAGCAATAGACTGACTGTGATTTTTTAAAGATTTGTCAATACCTTTAAGCCAATCTTCATGCATGTCTGATACTGAGCCAAGAATATCATTTGCTTCCTTTAGTGTATTTTGTGCTTGTCGTAAAGTATCCAATCCCGTACGTGCATTGTTTGCTATACGTCTTACAGTATCTATTTGACTCCTTGTTTCTTGCATCCAACCAGATAAAGTTTTAATAGTATCCGAACCATTTGAAATGAAGTTCAAAGCATTTTTAACGTCATTTAAAACTTCTTCACCAAGTACCGCCCATATCTTTCCGATTTGGTATTGAAGAACTCCATATGAAGCAGCTGTTAAACCAGTATTTATAAGGTCCCATATCCATGATTTAGCAGTTTTTCCATCCTTTCCATCCTTTCCATCCAAACCGTTTTCGCCTTGAGGTCCTTGTATTCCTTGTATTCCTTGTATTCCTTGTATTCCTTGTGGTCCTTGAGGTCCGGTGTCACCCTTCTCTCCTTTCAGTTCATCTTTATGTTCGTTATAATATTCTAATGTCATAAGGTGTACATCATTACTGCTACCAGCAACGCCGAGAATTTGTTTCTCATTCATGACTAAATTCTTTAGGCATTTAATGTTGTCGTCAAATCGAAAGCTCTTTAACAATTCAATGAGAACATTTAATACTTTCACTAATGAGGCATCTACTGTAGAATTTATATATTGCACCGTTCCATCATTTATGATGGGAACCTTGCTTGTTGTAATGAATGGGTCATAAGTGTTAAAAGTATCGAAATCAATGACTTTTTTAGTTTTTCCATCGTCAATGACTAAATCATTGCCTTCAATGGTTAAAGTTGAGTTTTCGTTTACTAGTTCATGTGCTCTTCTTGCTTCATTTGTTTCATACGCATATGCAGCAATAGTCATATTTTAATGAGAATAAAATGTTGTTCTATTTGCAAAGTACAGACCCAAACGAATACGGGACAGTAAAGCTACAAACAAACTTAGGTCTTCAGAATGAAGCGCTTGCTTTCAGAGTTGTTGACTTCAATACTATCGCAACTTTTGTCATAACAGATGAAACAGATTTCATAGAGATTGAAATAGATGACAAAAGAAGTGTTGTAACATTTCCTAACAGAGCCGAGTACAGAATAGATAAAATTGCTGGAGTCATAGATACTCTCATAAATGAAGAAACTATTGACAACATAGATGTCGAACTCTCTTCTGAGGGAACATTGAAGTTCAGTAGCAAGAAAGAGTTCAAGATACCAAGAATGAGTCATAGAGTACAACTTCTTCTGGGAGCATACCATATGACATTTCCTTTGAAAAGTGTTGACAAAACGATTGAGATGAAATCTGTTCCATACGTATGTTATGGTAATTGTTTGTACGTTGAGTCAAAAATAGCTAATGTCACAGGTATTTCAGGAGTTAATAGTAAAGGTTCAGTAGAATATAAATCCTTCTGTTATGCAGTCAATTCAATGTTCATTCCAAATGTTCCTGTCATAGCAACTCATTTAGGTAAATGGGTTCGCATTAGTCCTCATAATTTGAAAGACATGCAATTCAGACTTGTTGACTTTCAAGGAGAGCCTGTAGAACTGAAGCAGCACCAGTGCGAATGACTGTTGAAGTTGACTTTTTAGAAAATATTAAATGCAACAGCTTACAAGAGAACTCAGAGCTAAAAATATAAAGTATGAATGTTATGTATTAGGTCATGAACTTTGGTTGTTGCTGTTTGATGAAACAAATGAGTTAGTTATGTCAGTCAAGAGAACAGAAAAAAGGCGTCAAAGGCGCCGAGCGCAAAGCGCTATATTTGTTAGTGAAAACTGCACCAAGTCAATAAGATTAGGTTTGCATTATGAAGATGAGTTCGATACTGTTGAAGAAGTTTTGGACAGATATTACAAATTGCTAACTTGAATTTTTTTGACTGACGGCGCAAAGCGCCAAGATGGGCTCAAAGAGCCCTCCTGACTGCTTTAATTTACTAAAACATATTTCAAGCAAAGCTTATAGTAAGTAGATAGTTTTGTATACTCGTTCGAATATTTATACTTAAACTCAACTCCTGTAGTTCCTGGTGTTTCAATGATGCGGATGTTACCTATTTTCATGAATAGTGGAGTTTGACCACAGCATTCGATTTCAGGGTCGAGATAGTCAATGACACATTGTTTCCCTGTTATTCGTGAGATAACATTTTCAAGGTCCTCCTTTGTTAGAATTATTTGGTTCTTGCTTATAAGATTTGTCAAAAGCTTCTTATCGTCTTTGAGTAAAATTGTTTGGTATAACTGAAGAAGGTAATGGTCTACGTTATCTGAAGGATTTGTTTGAACATTTGTGTAAGGGTTGTCGTTGGCTTCTTTGAAAGAATTTGGTCCAGTGGTGGATACTCTAACTTAACATCTGATGTAGCGTTAGCGTTTGAAGCTGAGTTTAAATTCACGGCGCCATGCGCCAAGATGGGCTCTTTGAGCCCTCCCGACTTAAGTTCTGGTTCTTTTTCTTTCAAACACTCTGAACTATAGTTCTTTATGACAATATTGTTTGTCGTTCGTGAGTCAACATTTGATGTTGGTTCAATTGGAACATTAACGCACCAGCTAAGATGGATTTGCTTCTCATTTCATATAGAATAAAAACCTTTTATATGTATGAAATGAACAATATACTCGACAAGGGTTTGAATGTAAAGCTAACGAATGAAAATATTGTTGAATTCACTGAGACAGGAGCTGTGTATAAAGATGTAGAACTACTGAACAAAAGAGCTAAGGGAAGAAGCAGGAATATGAACAAAGGGTGGAAGCCTATAAAAATTTATGTCAATGATGGCTCAGGAGGTTCAAACATAAAGTATGCAGAAAGTTATAGAGTTTATGCTCTCAAAGGTGAAAAGCCTTCATTTAAGAACAGCTATTCTAACACATATCCTCAAAAGCTAACGGATGGGAAGTGGATGATATGAATGACAGCAAAAATATTAACAGAAATGGCGACAGAGATGCATGGAATTTGTTTACCATCAGTCAATTGAAGGTTAAACTTTAAAACAATGTTGGTCGTTCCCATGGAATATTTTTGACTTTAATGGTATTAGTCATGATATGAATCTCAAGGTATGAACGAGGAGAGATGAGAGACTTATATGCTTCCCAAATTTCTTCAAAAGGTAATGTTATACCTGACTGTTTCCAAATGAGTTCAATATCATAGCGTGAGAAACCTTGAAAGATAACGAAGTCAGTTATGAGACGTTTTATGTTTAAAGCAAGGAAACGCCATGTTTGCATAAGTATTGCTACAGTTAAGTGGTAATGTCTGACTTTAGTTATGATGTTAGCTAATGGTGAGTCAGGTTTTGACACTAAACCTTTTCCGGCGAAGTCGTCACAAACGAGCAGAGTGTTTGAAGGATACTTTTTGAAGGGGTATTTTGAAAGTTTTGATAGAATGTAGTTTGTCAGTCGTTTCATATCGTAAACTCCTGAGTACTGACGTAAGTGGTGTTTGTCAATAATTCTTTCCATCTCTTCTGAAGTCTTTTGCATTCCTGACTGTATGAACTCTACAATAGCATAATATTTCCTCTTACGTCGAATGTAACGTTGAAGAAATTCAATGAGTTCACTGTCTGGAACTTTAACGACAGAGGCTTGAACTTTTGACATAAATGTTTTCGCTGTTGAATCCATAGAGTCTGAAGTTGCTGATATAATGATTTGGTCATAGTAAGAGTCGTTTCCTAAACGCTCTGTTATGAGTATATGACGAATGAGGTTGAATGTCTTACCTGAACCCATCTTTCCACAATAGAAATAAACACCATTTGAACAGAACTCATAGTCCTTACTGAAAGGAAGAATGAGAGAACTGTTGAGCTTTTCACTGCTTTCATTCATGTCTTCATCTACGTCATGTATTAAATGCTTCATTTTATCTTCATTAAAAATGCAAGTCAGAAATATTCAGAACATAGCACCGAGTCTAACTGACAAGAGTATAAAGATATACTATGAACACGTTATGATGAAACCTACCAAAATTCAAGAAAGTCAGTATACTTATGAATATCCAAGACACTGGGTAGAGTATGTAGGAGGTGAGAAAGCTATTGAAATAAGACAAGTTAGAAGTATTCCAGCAGGAAGGACAATATTATTGAAGAACTTTAATGTTTTGAGGTATAATGATGAAACAAAGAAGCAAGATAGTTTTCCTGTTGCTGTGTATGT